GGATCATGGAATATCCCGAGCTGGGAGGGACCCCCAGGGATCCCTGTGTTCAGCTCCTGCCCAAAACTGTAACCCTGTGTCTGAGAGCACTGCCCAAACGCTTCTGGGACTGCAGCGCTGTGCACTGCCTTCTCTTTCTGTTTGTCCTTGCACAAGTATCTCACACTGTCAGATCTTTTAACAGAGAATATCAGAGGATTAGATAAAGTAGAAACTAAAGGCAATTAAAAATGCATTTGCTGCATAAAGCAAGAACTGTGCCTAGCTGAAAAGCAGAGACATGCTTTCTACCTTACTCAGATTTATGGACAGCAAAATGAAGCTTTTCTGAGGAAATGTCACTTGTCCAGAGTACAAGAATGAATAAAACCTAGCAAAACAAATAGCATGGGCTGATGGCTTTAACACTGAGTTTCCTAACATGGGACAGTTGGTTCTTTCTCAGACCCTGAGCTGAGCTTCTGCCTGTCCCATAATCCTGCACAGCCCACGGCTGTGGATGGCGGAGAAGAAAGCCATTGTGTGCATGGAGCACAGTGCGGCCCTTTGAGCCTGCAGCTCTTGTGGCCTCCTCCAAATTTCTTGAAGAAATACAGCTACGCTGCCAGATTGACTTGGGCCTGATCAGAGCTGAAACCTGGGGGAGTGAGGGGCGGGGGGAGGAAGGAAGGAAAAATGCAATTATACCTCTTGATTTGATGTTAAAGCAGTGACATTTTAAAGGCAACCAGGCTGGCAGCTGCCAGTCCATTGTTATGAGCTACTCTGAGGCAGAAGCACCACAGTGAAGGTCACTGTGCTGGAAGCAGAGTGGGAACATTTTAGCATCTCTCTCTTTTGCTTTCTTTGTTTGTTTACGTCCATTCCTCACTTCTGCCCCTCACCTGTTCTGTGAGCACAATGCAGCCCCTTGGGAGGTGCTGCCCTGAGCCCCCCAGAGCCCTCTGCAAAAGCATTTACTTTCTGCCAGCAGCAGCAGAGCTGGGCCCCATAACTATGAAAATACATCCGTATAGCGAGGAACATCTAACAGAAATCTACAAATAAAGCACTGAACAGGACTTAATTCTGCTGGAGGATTTAGGGCAGAGATGGATGTTGCTTAAATGTGGTAGGAATACTGAGTGCTTTTGCATCAACTCAAAGTAAAGGTCTCATCACACATGCTTTCTGGGTGTAAAATCAGATGATCATTACAGCTTTCTTCTTCGGAAATATGACCTGCACATTTTAGTTTTTGAACGGGGTAACTCCAAACAGCAGGGTATGAATAAAGGCTCCTGAGCAGCCATTAGCAAGTCTTTTGGTTATTCAAATAATGGGGCTGTACATCATTTTAAAAAGTTACGGGCAGAATTGTTCTTAAATGTCAGCAGCTACACAGTGCTAGAATCACTTGTGGGATTTCCCAAGTCGCCATAAAACACGGCCCAGCAGCAGCCTCCCATTACCAGCCCCTGAGTACCGTGCCTGCTGAGGGCTCTGGGTGGTAACTGCTGATGGTTGCCATCGCCTGCAATCAGCCTGCAAGCAGGAGCTGGGGCTGAGAGCGGGTGTGAGAGCAGGAGGAAGAGAAGGCAGACAAAGATGGCTGTGTCTTTGGGAGGAGCCAGCTGGCTCCATCCAGCGGCCCCTCGGGCTGCCTGGCTTCCCAGAAAGGTGCTCAGGAGCCAGGAGGGGATGTCAGGGCTTCTCCAGCCCCTCTCTCTCTGGCATAGGGCTGGAGCCATTTGGATCACGTGGCCAAAAGCAAATGCTCCGCGTCTTGGCTTGTCCTACAGCAGAGTCTTCTATGCTCAAATCTGATTTGGAAATGGAAAGCTATGAAAAAGCCACAGGACTTTTCCATAAAAGCAAGCAATTTGAGTTTGCCTGGCTGTCAAATAATGTTATCTATCTGTTGCACAGCACACTGCTGTGTCTGGGTGACGGTTACGGCAAAACCGGTCATCAACAAAACACGGCCTTCACTGTCAGCACCTGAATTCTTCCTTCATTTCCCTGAGAACTGCCGGTGTGGGCGATGCTGCAGGACCAGCAAAGGGAGCTTCTCACTGGGGTGTTCTGCTTTCATCAACCGTTCAGGGCACGAGCGTGGGCAGGTGATAGCTTACGTGCTGCAGAAGTCCCTTGTGCTGGCAGGATTGAATCAATAAATGGCTTCAAACGTTGTTACAATCCTGAGAGCAACATGATTTGCGCAGAACACTTGCTATTCAGCTTCGAGCACCATAGTCCCCCATTATAATTTTAGTAGAAGATGAGAACATAAAAGAGCCTTGTTATTGCTCTAAGTTAAGACTGTGGAAAACACACTCATGTTCCTAATTCCTTACTTTAATTGAATACAAAGATATCGGTGCTCAAGTGTTCAGCTGCTACATGGAAAATCAAATTTGGCGGCCAGTAAATACTGTGGGACTGAAGGCTTAATGGTATAAACCAAGGAGCACATTTGAGATGAAACTGCCTTCACTTCAGCAACACTATTACCACAATAACAACCTTAGATTTATGAAAATAGAACTGACTTAAATGCATTTGCCTTTCCTTTTCATTTTTATTGCTTATTTTTTATATCCAAGAAACAAAAGCCTCTTAACATCAGTCGGGTATTTCTGCCATCTGAGCCCACATAAAGTTTCTCAAAGCTGCAATTCCAGAAGAAATTTTTAAGTATCAGTTTAAATAAAAACTTAAGGTTTCCAAATATATTTTGTCATAACTTCACGTATACCTGCTGTGATTGTGTGATGGTTAGAGGTAAGCAGAGATTCCCTGTGTTCTCAGTTGCAGGAAGGCCAGAAAAAGAACGCTTCCTTGTTAAGGCCACCATGCTTCCAGTGCTGCCACGTCTGGCTGTGTGTGCAGGTCTGTGTGTGCTGACAGTGCTGTCTGTCTGTCCCCAGGTGTCCCTGAGCCTTCTGAGGAGCGCCTGCTGCCCCAGAGCCGCCCAGCTCTGCACTGCTGCAAACCACCACCCAGCTTTGCTCCCTGGGGACACTGCTGCACACCAGGTAGATGATGAGCTGCTCAAGGGTCACGGAGCTCCCTGCAGTGCTACGTGGCTTAAGGCTGGCTCTGTGTGGAAAGAAATGATGATGCTCATGTATGTATGGAGCGTGATGAGCTTTTGGGCAGAAGGCAAAGCAGAAGTGATTGTTGGGTTATTTGATGAAGTGGTGTTTGATAATTATTGCTGTAAAGGCCCTTATGGTTGGCTGGGACTGAGTGTGCTGCCCGGGTGCTGGGCTCTGCTGCTGGCAGGGGTCAGGCTCCGGGGGGAGTCTGGAAAGGAGCTGCATCATACCACAGACCTAGCAGGGGATCACTGCAGGGTTTAAATCCTGATATAATCAGTGGAAATGACTGAGAATACTCTGAAGAAAGGAAAAAAATCCACTAGGAATATGGATTGATGCAGCCCCGGGATCCCACCCACACTGCAGGCGGGTGCTGCTGGGAGGTGGGTGGTTGGATGCTGCCAGCGCCCAATAATCACCATGAAGTGACTCTCAAACAGGTGTGTCTCAATAATCAGGTCCATAGAACTCATCACGTGTCCAGCTTGGCGTTCTGGTACAGAGTGAAACCTTTAAAAGTAGAAAGAAAATGTTCTGCGGGTCATTAAATACGCTGTGTGTGCCATTGCGATGATGAAATGAAGCTGTGGCTGAACAGGATGGTGCCTTCAAATGGAACTTCAGAGGAGAAATAAAGCCAAAGATGGTAGCGAGGCGCCTTGGATTTATTAAAATACAGCCTCCCCTCATTACTTAGTGCAGCAATCAGTCTGTGCTGGGGCAGTAGCTGACTGCTGCTATAACTTGTGACCGTTTCTGCTTCTTAATTGGGACGTTTGCCTAAGAAACAGCAGATCCGCAGAAGCATTTTCTTTTTACGACACTATTCTAAATCAATAGAGTTGGTTGGTGGTGGTATTTTTTTTTTTTCTTTTTCTTAATGCATTTTAACAAGTAATAAACATAGGGATTTAGGAAGCCTGACAGGCACGGAGCCATCAGCCCCGGGCACGCACCGCGCCGGGCTGCCGGCACGCAGCTCCGCGCTGCTCCGGGCGGTCCTTCCCAGGAAGCGCGGGGCCGGGAGGGGCCGGGCGGGGCGGGGACACGCGGGGCGGGGCGGGGAGGTGCGGGCCGGACGCGGAGCGGCCGCGCGGGGGCAGAGCTCGGCGCCGCGGGGCCGTGCGGGTGCGGAGCGGGGCTCGGCTGTGCAGCCGCGCAGCGTCACTGGGATGGGGCTCGGAGGGGAGCCCGGCGTCGCCTGCGCGCTTCTGGACGGAGGGAGCCCCTCTTCGGCGCAGGGCAGCTGAACCCGCTCGCCGCCGAGCGGATCGCCGGGACGGGATTCTTTTAATTCCCAGGAACGCCGCTTCCTCCCGCGGAGTGCGGCCGCCGGCCGCGGATGTTACAGTAGCTTCCCGCAGACGCGGGGCGGCCGGGCGGCTTTGGCTGTCGGGGAGGCGCCGGGCCCCGCGCCGTGCGATGGATTGAGGCGCGCCCGCCGCGGCCCCATCGATGCGATGGAAAATCGGGGGCTGCTCTGCACGCTCTGCTCCCTGGTGCTGCACGCGCCGCTGCTGCTCGGCGTCACCGGTGAGTGGGGGCTCGGCCCTCCCGGGGCTCTGCTGGGGCGCAGCGGGGCTGTTCCGGCGCGGAGCCCCGCCGGCGGCGGGCGGCTGCGGGACGGCGGGGCCCGGTCCGGCTGCAGCGCGCTGCCCGCGGCGCTCAGAGCCCGCTCCCCGCTAACCGGCCTCGTAACTCTGTGTTCCCCTCCCAGCCACCTTCACCGAAGTTCCCAAAGATGTGACTGTTAGGGAGGGAGACGATATCGAGATGCCTTGCGCTTTCCGAGCCAGCGGATCCACCTCTTATTCCTTGGAAATCCAGTGGTGGTACCTCAAGGAACCGGCCCGAGAACTCGCACACGAACTGGCCGTCAGCATCCCTGGCGGCAGGAGCAAGGTAACGGGCGGGACGCGGCCGGAAGAGAGCCGGCGGGCACGGAGGCGGCCGGGAGCAGGGGGCAGCGCGGCCTCCGGGGAAGGGGGGAATTCACCATTGGAATATAAGGACAGCGTCTTAAGGGCTGTAACTAGAAAACGCTCGGAGTCCGGCGGTGAAATTGGGAGCGAGGGCTCGAACGAGGCGGCCGGAGAATAGCTGGGCTTGGAGGCGCGGGCAGCGCGCTGAGCGGGGCGTCCCCGCGGGCTGAGAGCTCCGCCGGCAGCTGCGGGAGCGGCGCGGGGCAGCGCTGTGCCGATGCGCGCTGAGCGGGGTGCGCGCGGACACCGGCGTGTGGAGCTCGGCCAGCCGTTTTCACGCAGTCGGGTGTAGAAATTAAAATGCATGAAGTAGCGTTAAATCTTGCGAGTCCCCTCCCCCTAGCGAGCATCCAGGCTCGGGGGCGGGCGCCGTTCTGAACGCTCCGCCGCGTTTCCCTGGAACGGCCGAATCGCCCCGCAGCCCCCGTTCCGGTACGATGCCCTGGGCGGTGCCGGCGGGGTGCGGCCGGGGAGCGCTCCGCTCCCGGCTCGGGTACCGCTCGTTTTCCTGCAGCGCTCCGATCGAGACGCGCATCTATAGGCGCTGAGCTACTGCGGTGCCACCTGGATGGGGAAAGTGTAACTCAGTTGTCAGACAGGGAGGTAAATCGCTCGGATTTAACCTCGTAGAAAAGCCGCGAGTCGCTTTCACCAGAAATGATGGCGGGGTGCGCGCGGAGCCGATGGTACATCGGCGAGAGCTGTGGCATCGCTCGCGTTTTACGGCGCTTAGCGGGGACAGCCCGAAGGCGGAGGATACAGCGCTGTGGTGCGAGCAGCGGGGCCGGACTGCGGGCTGGCGCTGCCGCGGGCGGCGCGTTTCGCAGCGCGGTGCCGGGAGCTGCCCGCGGGCGCTGGGCGGTGCCGCCGAGGGTAACGGCACCTCGGTGCGTACCGCCGGGGCGGGCAGGGCTCTGTCTTCCCCTGTGCCATGGGCGGGGATGTACTGGTCCGAGTAGCGGGGTGGGAGGGAGCGCCGCTCCGCGTGCCGCCGGGGCGGGCTCTGACCTCTTGTTTCTCTTCCTCAGGTGGCGAACAAGGACGCGACGAAGATCAGCGTAAGTGCAGCGGGCGCGGCGCGCGTCCCGTCCTGACCCCACCGCCGGCACCGCACGGTGCAGCCACGGCGCGGCGGCCGCTCCCTGCGAACGGGGGCTTCGGGAGGGGATGTTGGGGCTGCGGGGGGCCGGCGGCTGCTACTGCCGCACCAGCGCGGGGCCGGACGGCGCCGCGAGCGGCGAGGGTAGGGGGGGACGAGGGGCGGGGCCGGCCCCGCAGCTGAGGCTCCGCTCTCTTGCAGACGGTCCGCGTGCAGGGCAACGACATCTCGCACCGGCTGCGGCTGTCGGGCGTGCGGCGGCAGGACGAGGGCGTCTACGAGTGCCGCGTGGCGGACTTCAGCGACGACGAGACGCAGGAGCACAAGGCCCAGGCGCTGCTGCGCGTCCTGTCCCGCTTCGCTCCGCCCGACGTGCAGGCGGCCGAGGCGGTGTCCCACATCCAGAGCGGGGCGGCCCCCCGCCGCCACGGCCCCGCCGGCAGAGCCACGCCGCCGCCCGGACCCGGCAAGCGTCCGCCGCCGCCCCCCGGAGAGTGGGGACCCTCCGCCGCCGCCGCCGCCGCTTCGGCCTCGCCGCCGCCCGGACAGGGGCAGGGCCGGGGGCGGACCGCCATCCTGCAGCAGCAGCACGGCTCAGGTAGGTGCGGGGCTGCGCGGAGGGGCGGGAGGCCGGGGCGTGGGACCGCCGCGACCTCAGCCGTCCTGGATCCGCTGCGGGCTGAGCGCCGGAGGCAGCGGTGCGAGAGCGGTGCGGTGGCGGTGCGTGGGAGCGCGCCTGTTAGGGACGCGGGCCGCGCCGTGCCGGTGCTGGTTGCGGCTGTAGGGGGCCGCCGTCCTTCGCTCTATGCCCGAAGAACTCGGTCTCTTTCTCACGCAGGAGTCGTGTGTTGCGGTAACACGTGCGAGGCAAAGCGGGCCGCGGCTGGCGGATCGTGCGCACCTGGCGGTGCGGCTGCCGGCCGTGCGTTTCTGGACCGCACTGAATGCCGATAATAAAATGCAGGTGTTACGGCCGGCGGTGGCGGTAGCGGAGAGATAAGAAGCTGTGAACGAGGTAGCAGGATGTAGAAAAGCGTTTTGTGGAATTCCCAGATGGGGAGCGATGCTGCCGGCTGCGCAGCGGCAAAGCTGGAGCCGCCTGCTGTGCGGTGCTGCCGGCATTGCTGGCACTGCTGCTGCTCCGGGAAAGCACAGCGCCAGGCTCTCAGTCGGGGCAGCAAGGTAAGGTGTAGAGCAGCACCTGCTGTCCTCTGCGCTGGGGAGGCGACTCCTTTTGGGCTTTTGCTGTGGTGCTCTGTTAAAGCAGTGTTTTTGTAGCATGGTGTGTTCTCTGCAGAGAGGACCGTGGGTTGAAACTGGGTGTCGGCTCAGGTGGGGCTGCAGGGCCCGGTGTTGTGCTGGCTGAGCCTGGCATGTGTGCACAGCACCTCTGAGCCTGAGCTCAGTGACAGATCAGTGCTGCACATCTGTCTGTAGTGACTGAATCACGTAATGTGGTTACTCAGAAGCCTTTAGCAGGGATGTTTCCTCTGCACAAAAGCAGAAGTGGGCTCAAGCACTGGGTGTGCTGCTGGTGGTGAACACACTGCTCAAACTGATGGTGTGGCACTGGCTGCCATCTCCCCAATTAATTGGGATCTAATCCTATTTGCATTGCAGCAGAGTCCTTCCTGGTATGTTCAGTGCAACAAATGTAGGGCCTCTCTATGCTGTATTTCAACATGATTATAGAGGAAATGCTGCTTTCAGGTGTGCTCTTGTTGGCTTCAGCAGCATGCATGCTGTGTGGGGAAAGGTGATTGTTTGCATCATCTTGTTGGACTGAAGCATGAAATGATCAGAATAAATGTGTCTGTCAACAAGATGCCTTAAAGAGCAGAGTCCCACCTGATGGACCAGGCCGTAAATGGAAAACCCATAGCGTGGGACAAGTACTCTGATACTGAATTTGATTTAAGAAAAAATAGTCATCAGTAATGTCACAGTGTGCAAGGGAACAGATTCGAGGCGACAGGCTGCCCCACACTGCCAGGAATACTGCCTACTCAAATAGTGTTCTCTGTTGAAGCTACAGTATAAAACCTCAGTGCTGTGGTTGCGTGTGGCTGGAAAAGATCACTGCCCCTCTGCCAGTAAGGCAGGCTGACGTGGAAACACAGCACTTCCTGCAGGCAGGCAGAGTCTGCTGGTAAACTTGTTGCGTTTTGTGCAGTAAGAGAATGAGCACTTCTAAATGAAAGGAAAAATGTAACTTTCAATTTAAAGACTTGTATGCAGGTTTAATCTTTTGCTGTAGGGAGGAGGTCCGGTGAGCAAGTGAAGGGCTGCATATGGTGCAGCAACTTGGAAAGTGTTCTTAGTGCATACCAGCAAGGGCATTGCTGAGCTGTGTCCAGGAGGAATGGGTTCATCTTGTGTGTGCTGGTGGTGAGATTAAATAGCAAACAGTGGTTCCACATCTCGTAAATGTGAGCAAGGCGCTGAATTCAGGTGTCAGTCTTTGTTATCTGATAGTGAAAGGACAAACAAGTAGTTTATTTTATACTGCCCTTCTGGGGGGCAAACTGGCTGCATGAGGTCACTCTGAAAGTAATGCCTCCTATTTGTTTCCATGGAAGCTACAACAGATACAAAGAGCACAATTACACTGTTTGATAGAGCACGTTCTCAGCTACAAACACTGTTGTTCAACAGTCAGCACCCTTAGCTGTGCTGTAGCCAGCAATGAACTAGAGCTGTGCCAGTGGAGGTGACACACTGTTGCCATGACTGGAACGCACCATCCACCCCTCACTGTGCTCACACCACCCTGTGGTCTCTGTAAGCATTCAGTAAACATCGATGGATGTCAGTGGGTGCAGTTTTTTCTGCCTGGAGGACTGCAGTGACACTCCTTTGCTCCATCCATGCTCCAATCTCGGATGCCATTCAGAGTGCACCTCTGCTGCCATTTGTCACATAGCAACTGCATGTAAAGCAGTGCTGGTGGGAAGGTTCAGCCTAAACTGCCTCACCATCACCACCCACCTCTGATGTCGTGGCCAGTGTAACAAAACAGGAGGCATTACTTAGGGAGCAGTGCTTGTATGTGCTGCCAAATGGTCTCCAAAATGAGTGCTGTGTATTGGCTGGGGGCAATTTTTAGTTCAACTTCTGAGCAGAATGCAGATCAGACGGTGCAGCTTCCAAATTCCCTTTTATTTGTTTGATCTCCAGCCACAAAGCTCTGAAGTGAAAGCTTTAAATAAAATAAACAAAGATGGGAGTGTGAAACAAGAAACTGTGCTTCATTATGCTTAGAGTGCTCTAGGAAGGACACAGAGAAACTCATGTGTTATGCAAAGATGAAATGTTCACAGCAAGGAAGAAAGTAAGTCTTTGCTTGGTGCCTCTCTCCTGCTTCCCTCTCCAAAGCCTTTCATGTCTGCAGCAAAGGAGGGCAGCTCCTGCCTGGGCCCAGTGTGGGGATAACAGCATGCCCAGCCCTGCTCTGCAGTCCCCATCTGGGAGCAGCTCCTGATGGTGCTTGGAACACCCAGCTGAGGCTGCAGACCATGTCAGGAGTAGTGCAGTTACTTGGCTTCCATTGGGGCTGGGAAGCAGCAGGTGCGTTTTGTTGTGCTGCAGAGACAGGAACAGAAGCACAGTTCCTTAGGATACTGAGCTGTGCCTTGTTGGAGAGCTGTAGCTGAGTTGGGGCTAGCTTTCACTGCATTTGGGTCTGGGGCTCTCCAGGATTTGTCAGAATGTGAGTGGCTGTGGTTGCTGGAAGGGGAAGCAGCCAGGGCAGCTCGTGTGTTTGATGGATGCTCTTTGCACAATGCAGCCTGAAAGGGAAATCTGTTCTGTTGTACCTCCCAGCCCTGTACTGCCTGGGTCTCCTTCACTCCCCCCGTGCTTTTCGTGAGACCGTCTGTGAGCTCACACACTGCTGCTGTTTGTAGATAAATGCAACCTGGGTCTCTCACATTTCCCTTTGCGTTAAATAAAGGAGCAGAACTGAGCGCCGTCACTGAGTTACCAGGCTGACCTCCTAAATGTCACTGGATAATAAACACGCAAAAAGAATCCTCATTAAATACACATCACTAGCACTTCAATATTTGGGCAAATTAGACTCCTTTGGGGACAAGTGAGGTCAAATATCTTCTTTTGTTGCACACTATGGAGTAATTCTTGAACTGGACAAAAGCACGGACTGCAGCAGCGTCACCACAGTGCGTAGGGCAGAACTGAGCTGTGCTGGGCTGGTTCTGAAGGGTGGCAATGCAATCTATTTGAGTCACCTCCTTTGAGTCGTTTGCACTTGTTCCCCAGAGGGATGGGACAAACAGCTCAGACCTATTCTGTGAAAGCCTGCATGGTGTCCTTGCAGAACTTTGAGTATTGTTTGAACTTCTCTAATATATTCAAGTGACAGATGAGAAAATACTAAAAAATGAAATGACTAAATGTAATGAAAGGGGCATTCTGAGTCATTCTGATGAATGTGGCTAAAGCTGCTTGAGATGTTGCTACAAGGTGATTCATTTATGAGTGAAAAGCTGAAGTTGATATGAAGGAAGTTGAGTGCCCTGTGTGTCTTTTTGAACAAACAGCATTTTGGTTGGGAATGTCCATGTACCGCTTGGTTTCTTAGATAACCTTGGCAAAATGGAGTCTGAGGGTGCAGTACCAGCAGCAGGCTGTGTAATTGGCAAGACAGGCAGCAATTGTTACATCTTCACCACCAGGGATGCAGCTCTGCTGGTGTGTAATGTAACACGTGAGCTGTGCTCTGGATGGTGATGTTTCAGTGGTGTGCTCAGCAGTCACCACACAAAGGAACGTCGGGGCAGTCTCAGAGGAACAAGTTTGGAGAAGGCCATTGCTGACACAGGTCTGTAGTTGAAAAGCCAACAAGGCAGGAGCTGCATCTCACCATGGTCCCACGAAGGTGATGTTCCAGGATCTGATGGGACTGCCGGCAGTGAGAGGGGTTTGATTTAGTTTGCTGACGCAGAGAGAATGCTGGCAGGTTTGCTACTGCTGTTTATTCTGTGTTTTTTAAAATTGGATAATGGCAGAGCAGTGCCCTTTGTCAATAATAAACAGTTCAAGTAGGTTTGTATTGGAAAAAACAGAGTTGTCAGTGGAATGGTATTATTTGTCACAACAGCGGTTAACAACCGAGTATTTTATATTGCCAGGCTGTTATCAGCTGGGAGGCAATTTTATTAGCTGGAAAGCAGCAGTTTGGCAGGGCAGCAGCTGTGCTCCACGGAGAAGTCAGCGTGAGCGCTGAGTGCCGGCCGCTGCGCCCAGCATCAGGGCACTGAGCTGCCGGGATGTGTGCTGGGATGTTGCGATGGCTCCGTGCTGCTGGGAGCTGCAGCATCACACAGCTGGGGGCGGCTGGCTGCAGCCTGGGGCTGAGCAGTCCGGAACACCCCTAACAGACATCATCTTTTGTTTCATTGCCTGTTGATCACGCCTAAGGTTCCCCTACTATCCGTACTACTTAATACATTTGAAAGTCACATTTATAACCCGATTCCTTTTCAGGCCCAGGAGCTTGAGAGCTTACATGCAAGAAGGCCCAGAAGAATGTCCCCCATCCACAGTGTTCCTCTGCTGGCTTATGCTGTGAAGTTTTAC